ATCGGTGCAGAAAGGGACCATGGCAGGGTCGGACTGGCCTCTGTCAACCTTGTGCACAACACTTCCCAGTTGCTGGTACTGAGTCCCGTCCTGTCTCAGCCTGCCCCTCCCTGAAGAATGGATTCTGTCCCACTGTCCCTCCTCCCCCAAGGTCTTTGCTTCTTCCAACTCCCAACGGCCTCCTCCCCAGGCATCTCTTTTAAACCAGAAATCTCATGGTGCCCCAGCCCTGCCTAAAATCCGTCAATGATTCCTTATTACTGACAGAAAGAAGACCCAGCTCCTGGAGGGGTCTAAAACGTTATCATGAGCTTACCCCCCCCCATCTCTCAATGCTTCCCTAAACAATATCTATTTCTGTTCTCTGGGCATGTCACCTTATTTCATACCTCTGTGCCTTTGCTCAAGATGGCCTCCTCCTGAGCCTGACAAACTCCTACAAGCCTCAGAATTAGAGTCACCTTCTCTAGGAAGTCCTCCTAGATCTCACCTCCCACAAGTCTGGATGGAGTATTTCTGTGTTCCCACGTCCCCGGTATTTGATCACTTCATGTTATTATCTGGTAATAAGTCTTGTTCTCCCACTAGAAAGAGCTTTGGAGGGCACAGCCTCTTACTTTTGAACGGAGGCCCAGTCAAGCAGTGAGACTCCTAAGGAGCAGGGCCCCATAGGAGGAGGGTGGGGGAGGCACGGTGTGTGCATAGATCTCAGAGGCAACCCCTGAAACGTGGGGAGTGGGATTGGACAGGAATGCAGGACTCAGGGGGAGCTGGCAGGGGTCATGGGGATGGAGAGAACTGGCCATGACTCAGAGGAGGATTGGCCTTGGTTGTGGGGTAGACCCAGCCTTGGAAGAGGTAGATTGAGCAGGCAGGGAGCCTTCTCAGGGATGCATCTGTTCCTGGCACCCAGGACCAGCTACTGCATGGACAACAGGCCCTGGGGATGTCCCCCTGGGAATACCGAGGTTTTTTATTTTGTTTCATGCTGAGGATTGAACCCAGGGCCTAGGCAAATGCTAGGCAAATGCTCTGCCACTGAGCCACACCCAAGCCCTCGGGATTCTTTAACTAACCATGAACTTAGCTTAGACTTTTTCTCACCTGTGCCAAGACTGCCTCATAGCTTAGCTTGTTTGCCTGCCCGTAGCCCCTCTCCAGCCTCTACCGCAGCTGGCCCATGTGCCCCCAGACTGAGACCTCTCAGTGGCTCCTCACCCACAGCTCAAGTCAGGGCAAGTCCAAACTCCTCCACCTGATGAGTACAAAGAGCTTCAAATCATCTGACCTCTGCCCAGGTCCACAGCATCATCTCCCTAGGACCCTCAGCTCATGTCCCTCTAGCCTAAGGGGTTCTGGGCTTCCTATTTCACCAAGGGAACACTTCTTCTCAACAGCAAAGATCCCCAGCATGAAAACCAGATGTGAGCCGGGAGTGGTATTGCAGACCTGCAATCCCAGTGACTCGGGAGGCTGAAGCAGGAGGATCCCAAATTCAAGGCCAGTCTGGCAACTTAGTGAGGCATTAAGAAACTTAGTGAGACCCTGTCTCAAAATAAAAGCAAAAAGGGTTGGGGATGTGGCTCCATGGTTAAGTGCCCCTGGGTTTAATCCTCAGAGCCAAAAAAAAGAAAAAAAAAAAAAGCAGATATGAGCACATCTGCCCAGGTGAAACGCTGAGGCTCCCCAGAACCCCATTTTTAAATCATTTCCCTGCTACTCCCTGCTGCTTTCCCTTCTGGAACAAACGCACTGGGCCTCCCCCAGTTCATCGGGGCTCTCTCTGCCCTGGGGCTGCCTCCTGTCGCAACAGTCAGGAGGCTGGATTGCTGGTCACCTCCCCATCACCGTGAGCCCCTCAAGAGTCCTCTCTGTGATCCGGGGCCAGCTCTGCCGGTTCTCAGTGACTCTTGCTGGATGACCCCATGAATGCACAGGGAAGGGGCTCTGAGCTTGGTCAGTGTGGGAGGGGACGCGAGCTCGGGGTGGCGGCAGGACAATGAGATGGGGCAGAAAGGCACCATTCGGGCTTCAGGGGCTCAGGAAGGAATGGGGCCAGGAGTGGCCGAGGGGCCCTGAGATCAGATCGGGTGGCTCAGGGAGGGGTACTGGGTGAGAGAGATGGGAGAGAGAGAGGGCTCAGGAAGGGGACTCGGAGGGGGTGAGGGTCGGTGGCGAGGGTCCTGAGGAGCGAGGAAGAGCAGCCCTTGCCAGGGGGCTTCATAAGCCACCGCCAAAGAGAAGTTCTGGCTCAACTTCCCTGCGCCTCCGAGCAGGGGACCCTCCCTCGGGCTCCGGTCAGGCATTTCTGGGTCCAGAGGTGGCTGATACGGTTTGGATGTGAGATGGCCCCTAAAAGCGCCTGTGTTCTCCCGGAATCTCCAGGTGACTGGAGGAGGTGGGCGTGGCCGGAGGAGGCGGGTCCCGGGGGCGTGGCCTGCGCGGGCGCATCTTCCCTCCCGCCCCTTCCCCTCCCTGGGCTCCTGGCTGTCACCTGAGCCGCTCTCCTCCACCGTGAGGCTCTACCTCCTCACAGGCCCAGAGCGCAGGACTCAGCCCACCATGGACTGAGTCGCTAAAACATGAGCCGAATGAAACTTTCCCTCCTCTAAGTTGTTCTTGTCGGGCATTTTGTCACAGTGACACAAAGCTGACTAGCTGGTGTAAGGCTCAAGATCAGAGCTCTATTGGGTGGCTGTGGGCAGCCTGCTGTCATGTGGTCAAGGGACATCAGACCCACCCAATGGCCCTAAGACTCATATGCATACAGCAAGCCCACTTCTATGCCCCCCCCCCCAAACAACCTGGTGCCCTTCTGTATGGTGGAGAGCAGCCCACACAGGTGCCTGGTCACGGTCCTCCCAACACTCCCCGGAAAGCCCAGGGCAAAATGGTCCACATGTGGTTTATTTAACTACCGATGCATCCTCGACTCTGCACAGAGCTTGCTGTTTTATAAAGATCTTAAAATGCATATCTAGGGCTTGATGTAGCTACCAGTAGAGCACTTGCCTCGCACGGGGGAGGCCCTGGCCTCCCTCCCCAGCAGCACTAAAACAAAAATACAAAACAAAATAGCTGCTATCTCACGTGAGCCTTACTATATTCCCGTAGGATTACATTTCAGCTTTACAATAACCCTTAAGTGACAAGCACTGCCTCACAACTGCACACCCTGTATCTCCTCCGAGCCTCCATTCATTCCGGACCCTCACTGCACCCAGTCTTTCCCCACACCTCCCCCACCCTTGACTCCCACTGCCAAGGTTGTCTGTCACATCATTTGGTAACAAAAACCGGTTTACATGCTGCTGAGGCTGCCGGATGCCACTGTATCAAAAGTGGGCACATGGAGAACTGCTGCAGTAGATTAGCCACGGCTGAAGCAAGAGGCCCTTACTGAGGCTCAGGCCACTTCGTTTTTGTTGTTGTTGTTGTTGTATTTTTGGTCCAACAGACTTGAACCCAGATCTTTTGGCCCCTGGTTTGGGGGGGGGTGTGGCCCTGCATGTGAACGTAAGCAGAATCGTTTGTGCATATTCCATGAGTATTGCTGGTCTCTCTCTCTCTCTCTCTCTCTCTCTCTCTCTCTCTCTCTCTCCCTCTCTCTCTCATTTCGGAAATAGAGGAGACTGATTATAAACCACTAAACCACATCTGGCCTGTGGAGTCCAAAATACTGGCCACAACAGAGGAGAGGGGAGGGAAATCAAGGCCCGCTGCTGATTGAACCTAACCGGCTCTAATTGTCTGTTAAGCCAGGGATTTTCAGCTTCACCAATTCTCTGAGCTTCCCTCCCTGGGCTGAGTCCTGGCCTCGGCCGCTCCCATCCTCCCATCGTCGGGACCCAACAAGACTCTACTGCCTTTCAGCCTCCCCTGGCGGGCGGGCGGCATCCATCTGAAGGAAAAAGTGAAGCAAGAGGGAGTTGGGAGAGACTTCAGGAAGACTTCCCGCCTGCGGGCGTGACATCTCTGCGGTGTACGTGGAAATAGACCAGGCCTTGGGAGTCCAGAAGCCCTCAGCCCACTCCCTGACATGGGTCACTGTCACATAATGCCACTCCCATGACATAACAGCCCCATCACAGGAGATGATAAGCAGAGGGAAGGGAGTGCCTGGTGGAGGGGAGGGGGGGTCCCACACCTTAATCTTGATCTTTACTGAGCTCTGGGCCACTGTCACCCTGAGAAGGGTTCCCACCATGACTGTATGGGCTCAGGCCCATCCCTTCACCTTTGTTAGCATTGGACAGAGAGAGATTTGCTTTTCCTTTTTAAGCTGAGAACCTTTTGTTCCAATGACATCTCTTTCTTTCTATTTTATTTTTTATTTTTGTGGTGCCAGGGCTTGAGCTCGAGGCCTTGTGCACGCGAGGCAAGCTCCCCGCAGTGACATCTGACATGGAGGCTCCCCATGAGAGCAGGGGCAGTGGAGCTGTCCCCGTGCCAGGCTGCCAGGGCAGCGCCCAGCCTGCTGGCCTCCCGTCTCCCCCACAGCTCCCAGTCCCACTGGGCCTGCTTTAAAAGCCACAGGACAGCAGGGTCTCATGACTTCCCTCCTGCCCTGTTCGTGGGGCGGGGGAAGCCCTTTGTGGCCCACTACCCAGAGGTGCAGAGTCCCCCAGGGACCACGCCTCAGCCGTGACAGAAAGCCAGGAGCCCTCGACTGGGATCCGGTGAGGGGGGAACCCAGCACGCTGCCCGCCACCTGCGTCTCCATGGACACCACAGAGCTGGTGTCATGTCAGAGGGCTCATTCACAAACGGATCCTCACAAGAGAGGGGTTAATCCAGAAACCAGTGTCTACACCGGGGAACACAGAAGGCGAGGGGGTGGGAGGGAGCAGGTGATCTCCACAAACCCACCCAACGACTGCAAGACCAGGGACCTGGAATGGGCCCAGGGGAGATCTGAAGGGTCTCCACTACCCAAGACCCTGGGACCCCCCTCCCACCGCCAAGGCCAGCGGAGGCCCAGCCCCCTGCCCGGTACTCACTCCGCCTCTGCCTCTTGCCCTTGATCCCCCGGCTGCCGACGGCCAGGTGCAGCCAGCTCAGAACCAGGGCCACCACACACAGCCCAAGCCGCATGCTCACTGGCCGGCTCCAGGCCCCCGCAGGGGGGGTGGTCGCTGGGGGGTGGACAGCGCAGGGCTCTTGCTAACGCCTCTGGGGCTGGGTCAGCAGCAGGAGGCCCGGGTCCGGGCCAGAACCCAAATCCACCATAATCTCAGCGGGGGACAGAGAGGGCATGGGAAGCCTCCATCAGCCCAAATGGAGGTCCTCAAAGCCACCTCAGAGTGTCACATGGGAGTCCTCTCTGTCACTTCAGCAGGGGTTACTCCCAAAAACAACCTATGGGGAAGGAGAGAAGGGTTAAGTCTGTGGTACCCGGGGGAGCCCTGGGCTCCATGCCTCCTACCTCCCCGTGTGTTTCCCTACCCAGAAGATGCTGAGAACTCAGAACCTCTGGACACCACCAGTTACCCACCTGGCACCAGGGAGAAGAAATCTGCTCCTCTTCCTGTCCTGCCGAATTCCCTAACCTGACACCAGAGCCGGCTACCTGAGTAGCTGGAATATGGTGAAGGCTCAAACCAGATTTGTGGCTTAATGATGATTTTTTCAATAATGGGAACCAGCTGGCCCCACCCTGACTACTATTGGCCAGCTCTAACTGGAAGTCCTTCTTAAGTCTACCCTACAGACCTCATGCTGCAGTAGCAGCTTGATACTTGTCCTTCCATGAGTGGCCCCTCAGCCTTCTCTTCCCAGTGCTGAGTCACCCATGTGCCTTTCACCTGTCCTGGAGCTAGAGCAGTGGCCCCCCCGGCAAGCTGGCAGACTCTGGATGGCCCTCCCGGCTTGGCGGGAGAAAAGGAAGTAAGGCTTCCCCAGGCCACAGAAACTCTGACACAGCAGGCCCAGCGGGTCTGGCCTTTGTGAGGGGATAAAAGAGGCAGCAGTGCCCGCCCTGGTCAGGGACACAGAGAATGGCCATAATCCCCCAGCCCCGTGAGAGCCAGGGCTCTGGACCTGCAGGCTGGGGTGATGGGGGCAGGGGAGCTGGGCCCTCCCTCTGAGATGTGTCTGGGAAGTGGGACATCTGAGCCTCGAGCCCGACCTGGGAGTGAGGACGGAACCCTGCTCCCCACCTACAGGGTCTGCCCATCCGATGCCCTCTCACACAGAGGCCCGCCCACACGGCCTCCGCACACTTCTGCACACCTGCCCACGCTCACACGGGGACACAGGGAACACCAGGCCCGCAGCAGCGGAAGCCTTGTGGATGCCAGGGAAGCATCACCTTCCTGTCCACTGGTTAGTCACCTTTGGAAAGTCACTTAGCTTCTCTGAACCTCGGTCTTTTCATCTATAAGATGGGGATACTCAGGACTTTCACAAGCTGGCTGAGGGTCACTGAGTTTGGCTTACTGATGAGGAACCTAAGGTACTGGCATGCAGGTGTCCTCCTCCCCTGTCCTAATCCTTTCGCCGCTCATCTCCTCGGTGCCCAGTTTACCCCCTCGCCTCTTGGAGAGGCCCCAGGAGAGCCCACCTGCACAGGAGATAAATCATTATCCCCCCAGGGAGTTCAGTACCTCCCTCCTCGGCCTCTCCCACTAGCTTTGAAGGCCAGACACACTCAAGTGGTTAAGCTGCCTGGAAGAAGTGTTTACACGAGGGCTGATGGATCCCACCTGCTGCTGTGGCCGGAGCCAGCGGAGATGCCCCCAGCCACCCCCAAATGCCAGCCCCTGCGTGACCTTCAAAGGCTTCCCCGGCCCCGGCTACACATGTCCTTCACCCAGAGTGTGGATGCCCAGTCCAGTTTACCAAACTAGGGTCTTCAGTCCCCAGTACGCAGCCTCAGAGGCTGGGCGCACAGTTTGATGGTCAAGGGCACAGAGCGCTTTGAATGCTGGCTCTGTGGCTGGCTAGCTTGTTACCCTGTGTTCCTGGCTTAGCTGGTCTAAGCCTGTTTCCTTATCTGCAAGACAGTTGCCTCTGGACACCTTAAATGAGTTACTATATGACACTGCTTTGAGTGCGGCAGGCACACAGGGAGGTCTCGATATCAATATCAATCTCAATATCAACAAAAGCAATATCGACATTTTCTGTGTCATCTGGATACCAACCTTGATCATGAGCATTGACATGCGATTTACTCATTTGCACTGATCTCTGGTTGATGGCCTGGGCACCAAAGTAGCTGCTCAGAGGGACAGGATTTACCTCTGATTCCCCAGAGGGACAGGATTTACCTCTAACAGCACTGGTCAGACTGGGCTGTGAGGACCCCCGGCAGATCCATCCTGCCAGTCCTTACATTTGACAAACACTGCATCAGACAAACTAGGTGTCCCACCCTTTGGCCTAACTGTGTGATCCATGTCTCTAGGGTCCTTGGGGTAGAAAAGGTCCCCTATGCCTCTCTGTGCTCTGTGTCTGCCCACACGGTGCCTGGGTCAGTGCTCAGCAGAGGCTGCCCCCTCCTGAGCCCCGGTCCTCCAGGTTCGACCTGGCCACACTCACCTAGCCTCTGCCTGAAGTGATCTTCTGGCCCACTCTCACGGGAATCACCAGGGACCACCGTCTCAGCTGAGAGATGAAGAGGGCGATCCAGATGCAAATTCCATCTGACCAAGTGGCACTGGCTTCCTTCACCTCTGGGATCAGAAGTGTTCCAAACCCTTTTTTTAGGGGAAAAATATAACATTTTCAACCCCACAAAGAAGCTAAAGACACATCTATACCAGGGGATGGGAGTGACGCATGTGAGCAGAGCAGGATGTGGCATGGGCAAACCCAGCTCAAGTGGGCACAGGCCATTCGGCTCCAGCTGGGGGCTGACGGGCAGAAAGGATGGCTCAACATCACCAGATCCTCAGGCATTTTGAAAGAGCAGTAGAAAATTCAGGATCCTGGGTGAAATCTGATTTCCAATGTTGCACAGTCTTAGACTACAGATCCTCAGGTGCCAAGCTCCAGAGGGCCACAGGTCCCTGCCTGGAGGTTCCACATCCCTCTGACTAGATCCTGGCCCCCCACAGATGCATCTAGGAAAAGAGGACACCATGGGCTGGGGCGGGAGTGGAGCCAGAAGCAGACAACTTTCTTTTAAGTCGCCTGTCTCTGTCATGGTTCTGCTGTCTGGTGTCCTGGGGGCCTTGGGCTATGGCACAGGCAGTCTCGGGGACTCCTTTCTCTACCCAGAAAGAAAGGTAACTGCTGATGCTCAAAGTGCCCGGCATTGGCGGGGGCTCGGGGTGGGGAGGGGCATTCCTCTCTGCCAGGGTGGGGGTGAGGGTGCCTCCTGCCACCTGACCTGCTCTAGGCCCTCATTTATTCTACCCTAAGGAAGAGGGAGGTAGTATTATATCCCATTTTGCAGAGGTTGGGGTCTCCGTGGCTACCCAGAACGGGGTGCCTGCTGGGTGCTGTGAAGGTCGCTGAGGAATGTGCCCCCTTCCCTGCTTGGGGACTGGACCTGCAGCAGGTGAAAGGGCTGGGGGCCGAGGCCGAGCTGGCGGGAGACCCAGGGATGGATCCGGAAGGGGAGGCCGCGCGTTGGGGAGGGGGACACCATTGGGGGCGGAGCTGGGCGGAGACTCGGTCCCGACAGAGGGCTGGAATCACTTCACCTTCCTGCCTGTAACACTGTCAGGATAAATTGGTACTCCGGCCGGGGCCGATCCGGACCCAAAAATGTAAACCATCCAGATAATTCCTCATTAGCCCTCCCAGGAGCGGCTGCGGGCTGGACAGCTCGGGCTGCGGAGCGGGCAGGCGGCGGGGGGCCGAGTTGCTGGGCTTGGGGGGCGGGACGAGTACGCGCTGCCCAACCTGCCGGGATTAGCTTGTCCGCCAGAGCCGAACCAGGTGCTGGGGCCGTTTTCCCGCCCCCCCCCCCCAATCAAGGGACCAGAGAGAGGCTCCTGCAGGCCCCCCCCCCATCACCGCCCCGAGTGTCCACATTCATCCTCCCTCTCCACCATCCCCGAGAGGCCCCAACAGGTGCCCTAGGAGAGATGGACCGAAGCCCCGGTGGTTGCCCCCAAGATCCAAGTTCAAGAGCCAATTTCACAAGAAACCCCGACCTCTAATACCCGCACCCAGAAGTCATCCCTGCTCGCCTCGGGGCCCCAGACCAACAGGGCCCCCAGCTCTGCCCCACCAAGCTGTACCGTCTGACCCTCAGCGCGAGCCAGGGAGTCGCGCCACCTCCCTGCGCACCCAGGGCAGAAGCGCACGTTGCCTGCCACGTTGGACCCGGGCCCGGGCTGTGGGAATGGGATGGGGTCACCAGGGACCATGGGACAGGGGGACCCCAAGGCAGTGAGACCAGGGATCAAGAGCCTCTGTGGCGGGGAGGGTGTGTGACAGGGCTGGTGGACCTAGAAGTTCAGGACTTTATAGGGGGTTGCGGAGGACCCGAGGAAGCGATCGGGACCGGGCTGCCCGCTTGCCCTGAGGGGTGACGGGGCGACAGGGTTCGTAGCAGGGAGTCGAGGAGGTGCCTTCTTCCGAGGGATGACCGAGAGAGCAATGGGGCTCCCCGTTCTCCGTCTCCCCCGCCCGAAGGGTAAGCCCCGAATGGGGGCCCGCGGCACCCCAGGTCCCGGGGAAGGGGCGCTAGGAGAGAGGACGGAGCCGCGAAGCGGGGACTCACCTCGGCGCTGCCAGCCGCGGCGGGGGCAGGCCCGGGAGGGGCGAGGGCGCGGCCGGCTCAGCCGCCCGCCGCAGGACTGTCCGGGGCGCCCGGCTCGCCTGCGCTCCGCCCGCCCGTTCCCAAGTTGCTCAATCTGCGGGCGGCTCACGCCCTCCGGGGCCAGCGCCCCACCCGGCGCATCACTCCCGGGGCGGCTCTGTGGCCCCCGCTCTCCGCGGCTCACGGCTCGAAAGCCCCACTGCGGCTCGCCGCGCCGGGCTCTCCGCCCCGCGCTCGTGTCTCCGTCGCGCCTCCGCTCGGCCGGAGCTCCCAGCCGGGAGAGGGGCCAGTCCTCCGCTCGCACGAGGGAGGGAATCCCCCCCTTCGCGGTCCCACCCCCGAGCCGGCCCCCCTTCCTGGGATCCGCAAGAAAAAATGGACTGGAGCGCCGGGCCGGGAGCCGCAGCCCCCTCCCGCACGCCCGTGCACCACGCTGGCGCGCTGCGCCCTGAGCGCAGGGCTGGCACGGGAACAAATTCTCTGAGCCCCGGCGCAGACCCTCTGCCCCGGTCTCCTCCCTCCCAGGCCGCACCAGTGTCCACACCAGGGGGATCCCAACAGCCTGGGCACCCGCAGCAGTTCAGAGCATCTGGGGGTCTGAAGAGCTCCCGGGTCCCTAGCCAAACCCCAGTTTCCCCATCAAGAACCAGGAAAGTGACAAGGAATAGACTCAACAGAGCTTTGTGTTCCTGGCCACACCCTCCTCCCCTTCAGGATCAAATAATCTTCAAAGCATCTTTCGAGTTCAAAAGAAATACTAAGACCCTGGGCACCCACGAGGACTCCTCCACACTCCCACACTCCTCGCTGGTACCGGAGAGTGACAGAAGTTACAGAATACAACCTACATTCAAATCCCCACTCGGTCACTTACCAGCTGTGTGGCCATGCCTAAGGTACTTAACCTCTCTGAGCCTCAAGGTTCTCATCTGTTTTGCAGGTTCAGTGAAATGAAGTGTGCAATGCCTGGTGGATGGTAGGAACTCTATAAATGTTTGTGGGATGAGCATTGAAGGGCTGCAGACACCTGCAGTGACCCAGATGATGTTGAAGTTGAGCCTGAAGAGGGAGGGAGGGACACTCACTTCTTAGGGTGGCAAACAGCTGTTCTCCAGCCTCACTTCAGATTGGGGAAAGGAAAATGAGCTAACACTGTCGTTAGTGGAGTCAAGCTGGAGCAGAAAAGATGTACTGATTGTGCGTGGGGTGGGGGTGAGTAATCAAGACAGGCTGTGGAATCTCCTTCCTTGGAGAGGAGGGGGGAGGTCTGACTGGTGAGCCAAGAGCACAGGGTCCTTTTCCACGGCAGGGGAATGGGTGGAATGGCCAGGGAGCAGGGAGCAGGATGGTAGGTTGCCAGAGAAAGCGGAGCCCTGGGATCCCAGATGCCCAGTGTCTGGACTCCCGGAGCCAGAGTGTTGCCAAGTTTGCAGGAGGGGAATGGCCATTTCCGAGTTGGTCTGGGGCCCCTCCAGGCCCCTCCCTCTCCCTCTGCCCCGAGCCTCCCTGGTGTCTAACCAGCTCTTGGCTCTGCTCTGTGCCTAATCAAACAGCCCCAAATGCCGAAAACTCAATGTTTATTTTATTTTATTTTTTTACACACTTGCATAACTCCCTGACAAGCCACGCCAGGCGCTGGGCTTTTGTTTGGTTTTATTTTGTTGCATTTAAGGGAAAAAAGAGAGAGAGAGAAGAGAAGAAATAACACAAACCACTCAGCCCTAGAAGCTGTCTTAGGCCAGGCAGTGGGCTCGGGTTTCCTGCCTGAGGAGAAGTCTGTGGGAGTTGGGGGCCTCGCTACTGGGCTCAGGAATGAGTGAGAAAGCGTAGAAAGCCACCTGGGTCAGAGAAGATAGGGAATTAGAACCATGTGACCATAATGGGTGGATAACAAAGAGCATTTCTTGTGCATCTAATATATGCCACTGTGCTTGGCATAGATGGTTACTTGTTTCGCAACCATTTTCTTTTCCTTCTTCCTTTCTCTCTTTCTTTTTCTTCAGTATTGGGGATGAAACCCAGGGACCCTCTTACCATCAGACTACATTCCCAGCCCTTTTCACATGTTTATCTATTTTTATTTTGAGACCAGGTCTCCCTAAGTTGCCTAGGCTGACCTCAAACTTGCAATCCCCCTGCCTCAGCCTTCCGAGTAAGCTGGGATTACAGATGTGCGCCATCGTGCAAGGCAAGCATTCTACCAACTGAGCTATGTCCCCAGCCCCTCCCTGACCCTTCTCAAAACAGCTCTATGGAGTCTTCTCGCGAGTCGGACCTGTGTGGTAGACTGCGCATCACTCCTCTACGGCCGGGGATTGTCTCTTCCCCTACCCTGTGAGTTCCTTCATGATCCCAGCATCATGGACACGCTGAAGCAACGCTTGGTGAACTGAACCCCAGGCAGCCGGGACCATCCCTCTGTAGTCCACCGGTGGTGTCATACATCACTGTTACCACGACAAGCCTAGATCATCACTCTCATTAGAAGATAAAAAGTGAGCAGACTTGGGCCACAGTAGCAGCTCCTGGACATGAGTAAGTTTCCAAATACTTTGTGTTATTCTTCACCAGGCAAGAACTATTTACCATCTTCATTTTCACCATCTCATGATACTTTCCACTACAAGCAATAGAAGAACAAGTCAAAAGAGTGATGTAGTATTTAAATTATTTATTTGTGTATTATTTATGCATCAAGAAGGACTTATGTAGGAATGACCCAGTAGCTCAACCGCTTCCCTCGAGAATCGGGTTCTGGGCGGCGGGGGGGGGGGGGGAGCTCCACGATAGAGCACTTGTTTAGCGTCTCTGGGTTCAATTCCCAGCATTACCAAAAAAAAAAAAATCGTGTTCTTTTCCTCTATTCTCATTCAATCTTCCTCAGCATGTTGGCTACTGCCCTTATGAACACCGTGTAGAGGCAGCAGCTGGAGGCACCACATCTTCATCCACCAATTCCATCAACAAGTCTTTCTCCCCACCCCATATATATACAAAACCTGTCTCTCTATATATTATATATATATGTACACACAGACACACACTCACACACACACAAATACACACACACACATAAACATACAAAAGACAGGGTCTTGCTGTGTTGCCCAAGTTGGTCTCCAACTGGACTCCAGTCAGGGGTCTTGCCATTTCAGCCTCCCCAGTAGCTGGGACTATAGGCCTGTGTGTTCTCTCTCTCTCTCACCAAGGATTGAACCTAAGGGTACTTAGCAGCTGAGCCACATTCACAGCCCTATTTATTTATTTATTTATTTATTTATTTATTTATTTATTTTGAGACAGGCTCTCACTGAGCTGCTTAGGGCCTTGCTAAATTGCTAGTCTGGTCTCAAACTTGCCATCCTCCTGCCTCAGCCTCCTGAGTCACTAGGATCACAGGCAGCACCCAGCTAGCAATGAGTAGTTCTGCTTCGTGGGGCTTTAGGATGCCCAAAGTAGGGAGGAGGGCCGCAGATGAAGTCCTTCTGGAAGGACCTTCTATACCAGGCTAAAGAGCAGGCACTAAACCTTAAGGGCAACGGCAACCCTGAGGGTCTATGAGGCGGTGGGGGGCAGGCAGGATTGGAGCTGTGCTTCGGAAGGACTTCCTGGCAACGCCCACGCTGGCTGAATTGGGAGAGAAGACCCAGGAGGAGGGAGCGAGGCGCTCCAGTGACAACTGATGGGTGGTGGTTCCATTTTCTCTTTGCTCCAGCCTCCCTTCCTGGGGGCCTGCCGTGGGCCCTGGAGGCCAGCACCACCGTACACCTGGCTCTAAGCTCGGGTTGGCTGATGCACACCAGGGCCACTGTCCCCTTTGCCCAGCGCGGTCGGAGACATCACTCGTCCTCCCCCTGGAGGGTGCAGCGCCAGCCTCCTGTCACCCGCCCTGTCCTGGCTTCCCTTCCTGCAGCTCCTGCTGCTCTGCTGCCCTCTCCCCTCCCAGTGCCCTGCAGTGCCCTCTTCCTCACACAGGACTTGGGCCCCTGTCCTCTTTGTGGCAGCTTCGAACACCAACTTGGAGACCTGTTCTCTGTATCCCAACCCTCAGGGACCTCCGAGGCAGGACAATCATCTCACCAACTCCACCTCCGCCTCCCACCCCCATGGCCACGCCCTCGTGGGGCCTCACCCAAACTGCTGGACCCCCGGACCCTCCCCAGAATCCCCTTCTGCTCCCAAGCCTGCCCCTTGCTCCTAGTTCAGAGTCTTGGCATTCCACCTGCTGGACAGTGATGCCCGCACCTGCCTGGCCTCAGCAGCTCACCTGCAGGCAAACCCTCTGCCACCGTCTGCTGGGTGCTGAGCTCTGCTGGAGAAGCCCCAGCCACCCAGGAGGTGGCACCACTCACTGCACGTCCTCAGCCATGTGTGCCATGTGTCCTGTGGTGTGTGGGGCTGATGGCCCCAGAGAAGCTCCTTGGGCCACCCAGACCCCACCCTCCTCTCCTAGTCCCAGTCTTCATCCTCAGGACCGATGAGAGTAGCTCTTCCAATTTCCTGTTTGGGCGGGGTGTAGTGCCCACCCATAATCCCAGCAACTTGGGAGGCTGAGGCAGGAGGATCACAAGTTCCAGGCCAGCCTGGGCCACTTCACAAGACCCTGTCACCAAACAAAAAATAAATGAATAAGCTGGGGGTGTGGCTCAGTGGTAGAGCTCTCCTGGGTTCAGTCCCCAGTACTAAAAGAGGGGAAAAAAGAAAAAAGTAGAAACCCAACTTCCTGCCCTAAAATAGATAGATAGATAGATAGATAGATAGATAGATAGATAGATAGATAGACAGACTGATTTTTTGGTAATGCTGAGAACTGACCCCAGGATCCTTGCACATGGAAGACAGGTGCTCTTGGACTGAGCTACATCCCCATCCCTGAAACTACACTTCTGATCCCCATGCAGAACCTCTCTCCCTCAGGTTCCCTCTTGGTAAACAGCAAGGATCCAGATGGGGCAGGAAACTGAGGGGGTGCTGTTCTTTTGCCTCTCTCACCCCCTCGTCCACTCTACGGGCAAGCCCTGCCGGATCCAGCTCCAGCACCTTCCTGAACCATCTCCCCTGGTTGCCGCGGGGTCCAGCCCTCTTTGCTGCCTACCTGGATGGTGGTCAGCACCCCTTCGCCCCCTGTTCCCACTCCCCCTCAACACAGTGCACACAGCAGCCCGCACACGGTGAAGACCATAAAGTGGACCTTCACTCGCTCCCTGCCCAGACGTCCGGTGATTTTCCATCGCACTTGGAGTCCAGTCCAAACACCATCCCTTATA